GTCAGTTGCACAATACTTTGTGGGGTATGATTTGCCCTGCTGAGACCCCAGAAGGGAGCGCTGTGGGGCTCGTGAAGAACTTGGCTCTGATGGCTTACATCTCTGTCGGCAGCCAACCTTCGCCTATTCTTGAGTTTCTCGAGGAATGGAGCATGGAAAACTTGGAGGAAATTGCCTCTTCAGCCATCGGGAAGTAAGTGATACCATACAGTTTACCACACGCACTCATATATAAATCGCATTTAACTACGGTGATTCATTGACTGTTTCAGGACTTGTAAGATATTCGTCAACGGCTGTTGGGTGGGAATTCATAACTCCCCTGACCACCTTATGGGTACTCTGAGGAAACTTCGTCGTCAAGTGGATGTCATTGTCAGTGAGGTCAGTATAGTTCGTGATTATCGAGATCAAGAAATTCGTATATACACTGATGCCGGCCGCATCTGTCGTCCCCTGGTCATCGTTGAAAAAGGAAAACTTCTTCTCAAACGCAGCCACATTGAATTTCTGAAGGACAAGGCCCACAATCGCTACAGGTAATGTCACCCCTTTTTCGTCATATTTATATTCCGGACCTTGTTGAAAAATAATTTCAAGGGCCCTTTTCGCGTTCTACTATCACTCGGCTTGCTCCTTACCGCTCTGGTGATGGGTGACTTCGCTGTCGTCCGGCTCAATACCACTGCTATCCTATTGTGTGTTCCACCACTCTAAGTCTCAGGGCTTTGGTTGCCAGTTATCATGAGTGAACAGCAGGTCCTCCTGACTGAGGTGTACTGCTGCTGTATATAGCAAGGCGATTGCTACGGCTCAGCGTCAATTGTAGCCCTTTGAGTTTTCGGGTGGACTGTCGATGCTTCATTGTAATTGTGGGTTTAATACTGAATTAATCATTTCTAGGCTTTTTCGATTATTTAAGATCAATGGTTCGAATATTTTCATTGATTTCCGTTATGTTAGTTATCGGTATTATCACTTTCCTTGGTGATCTTGTTACTCCGTGTTTTCTTGAATTTCCTTTTCCCAGCTGGCAAGATTTGGTCCTCAGTGGTGTTGTGGAGTATATAGACACATTGGAAGAAGAAACAGTGATGATTGCCATGGGCCCAGCTGAAATGCAAGCGGCCGTTCAGTACTGTAAAACTCACACCCATTGTGAGATTCATCCAAGCATGATCTTGGGTATTTGTGCCAGTATTATCCCGTTTCCCGATCACAATCAATCACCCAGAAACACTTACCAAAGCGCTATGGGTAAACAAGCCATGGGTGTCTACATCAGTAATTTCCACACGCGAATGGAAACCTTGGCTAATGTGCTTTATTATCCTCAAAAACCCCTAGTGGCAACGCGATCGATGGAATATCTGCGGTTCCGTGAATTACCAGCTGGTGAGTGATCCTCCTGATCCTCCTGCATTTGCAGTTAATCCGGTTTGAAGTACCAAATTTTCGTTTGTCGTCCACCATTCGATGCAAAAAGTTGGGTTTATTCTTATTCACAACTGTATATCTTCTGCGTTTGTGTGCTCATTTATGTGCGATTTACACCGTGAACTTACTTGTACAACGTGCTGTAGCTGTGATCGCTTTCAAACTGTCAGTGCATGCAAAGTAAGCGTTATCATGTAAGATATGTTGGAAATAGACAGGTTTGATAAAAGACAAAATCAAAAATAAACGGTGTAGGTAACAGGTTTCGGAGTAGTAGGGATCAAGAGGTTCAGATTGTCACTAGTGTGTTCCAGACCCTAAGGTCTAAGGTTCAAACCCTTACACCATCACCGAAATTCTGTGGTGAACTGTTACACAATCATGACGCTCGTTTTAGGGACAGTTTAGGAAGATCGATATTCCACACGGAAGGGTTAGTTAACAAACGGTCCAAGTCACTGTCACCAGTGCGCTATCGACCGTGGATCCGAAGTTCTAACCTCGCCACTGGCACGTAACTTTCGTGATGGACAGTTTCACTTTTGTCCGATGCATTACTTTACTACATTAATGATGTGGCTTCTTTCTGCGTTTTTCCCTTCCCATTATGTCAGGTATCAATGCGATTGTAGCTATTGCCACCTACACAGGCTATAACCAGGAAGATTCTGTGATTCTTAACGAAACAGCTATTCAACGGGGCTTCTTCCGATCTGAATTTTATCGAACGTACAAAGATCAAGAATCCCGCTACGGTATGGATCAAGAGGAAGTTTTTGAGAAACCAAATCCTCAACAGTGTCAAGGCATGCGCCACGCCATCTACGATAAGTTAGATGACGACGGCCTGATTGCTCCAGGCACTCGTGTATCTGGAGATGATGTTTTGATCGGAAAAACTATCACCTTACCGGAAAATGAAGATGAGGTATGTATATGGCGCAGATGCTCCTTATAATATCATTTTTTAGTCACAGTAGACATGAGTCAGTCAAAGCCTGTTATTCAGTTTCAGATTTTACAACCCTGAACCATGCATTTTCATGCGCCGGCTTTGGTCGCTGTCTTTTGATTACCCATTTGGATAAAAGATCAGAATGAAGATTGGAATGTTGAGAGCAGAGTCAAATTGAAGATTGAGAATTCATATAGATTGGGTTTACAACAAAAATGGGTAGATACACGAGCTACACGGTTTGCGACATCCAGCCATATCACTCAGTGTCTCTAGACAGTGGTTATCATAATCTCTTAGTCCCCATTCAAGGAGCCTAACAGGGCCTACATGACCTATTCTCTTGGTTAGGGTTTTCATACCCTCATGCCAGGTCTTAGTTTGACCGCTCTTGACTTTTTTCGACCGCTTCTCTCCTCGGCAAACATCGCGCGCCGTAGCAGCTTACTTGGTGATTCGTATTTCACATACGTCTGAGTTCAGACGGTGTACCAAACAAATCACGGTACAATAATCTTTATAAAAAGAAGAGATTTCTACGAAGTTGATTTGGGCAGAAAACTGCCAGGTTGTCCAGGTATATATATATATATATATATATATATATATAGCACCAATATTTACAGATACGGCGCCAAAGTAACCATGGATGAACGAAAAACTATAGGTAAAAAGCGGGGAAAATAAAGCAGTTAACTTCGGGGAGTAACATTTTTTGTCTGTTTGTTTACTGCACGCCATTTTGAGTTTTTTTCGTTTTTGTTTATTTTTGGGATTGCAAACAGAATAGGATACATTCGCGCCACTGACTTCGGTTCGATGCGATATCCCGCAGTGTCTCCAGCCAAAGACAATCTGAATCTTTGGGGCCCCAGTCGGGGGAGCTGGGAAACCCCAACGGAAACCAGATCCGAGCATAATCTCTTTAACCTTCTGCGCCACGTCATAACCTGCCCACCTCGCTGTTTCTTCCAGCGTAGACCGATGTCTGCGAATAGTGCACGGTGTGGCAGACGGTGCTCAGGCATTCTTAGGACGTACCCATGGTTAGATGCTGTGAAATTATTTTGCTCAAAGGAAGACTATCTGATCCTAGCACCCGTCGTTTGACTTCATCGTTATTCACGCGATGCTCCCACCATACGTGGGCGATGTTGTGCAGATAGCGGTTGTCGAAGACTGATAATCGCTGGACGTGATCTGCTCAGAGAGGTCAGGTCTCGCAGCCATAGAGCAACACGGTGTGTACCGTTGCGCAATACGCACGTCCTTTCAGTGAAAGAGATATGTCGCGCCGGTGCCAGAGATGCCGCAGATTGGCAAACGCTAATCTAGCTTTGATTACGCGTTGAGAGATCTCTTCGCCCTCACCTCCGCCAGCTGTTATGCAACTCCCAAGGTAGACAGCTTTCGACTACTCCCAGAGTGTCATTATCCAATGAAAGTGCAGGAATGGGTTCCTGCCAATCTTGCAACAACACTTTGCATTTTGAAGGTGCAAAGCGGGTAACCTCAATTGTCAAACGGTTCAACGACTCTTGAATCGTTGGCGCGTTGTCACCCAGTAACGCAATATCATCGGCATTTTCTAAGTCTACGACTCTGTCCCCAGGGAGAAGCTCGACGCCAGCGTTCGTTACGTTATGTTTTGTAGGACATTGTCTATGGCAAGGTTGAAGAGAAACGGAGAGATAGGGCAACTCTGTCGCACCCCACTGGTGA